CCGGGCGCCATTTTCGCTGCCTCGGTAAGCGAGGGCAGGGCGCGAAAACGCTGCGGGTGGCCATTTTCTTGATCCAGCGGCCATTTTGGAACCACCAATCAGCTGTTTCCCTAACATCGCAATGCGAAGATCAGTACGTGAAATGCTTACCGATCATCGCAACGAGATGTTTAGCCTATTAAAACATCACAATGCGATCGTAAAAACGATCGCAAAATCCGCATCGCTATGCGGATTCATCGTTAAATGGTGCATTAAGTGAGGCACCACTGTATGGCATTTTCGTGGTATTTTTTAGAAAAAATACTCCGAAGCTGCAAAAGAATGAAGGAAAGGTATAGGAAAAAATAATCCAAGATCAGTCCAGAGGCAGTGAGGAGAAAGAATGAATTTCAGAGCAACAGAAGGGAAACCCCAACTACATCATGACATGTTCACCCGTTTATGCCAAAAATGCACCTCTACAAAGAGAATATTTCTCCAAAACATGGAGAACGTCACTTCAGAGCAAAGTAGAAGCCAAAGACATCTTCCCATGATTTCTTTTTAAAGGTGTGGTGGAGGCCTAGGACGGCTCTTTCCCATCAGAAAAGCTTGCATGGAAAGGCTTGGTGCTTAGCAAGAGGCGCATGAAAAAGCCTTTCGTGTCCTCTCAGATCTCGTCTCTACAGCTATTCCAAACATGACAGTTTCAAATACTAGGAGGGACTCAGAGTCATTGCACCGTCACCCAGAGGCCGGACTGTGGTTTCCTCTGGTGTTCCCTTCCTGTAATGTTGCTCAAGCAACTTTCGGGACAGAAAAGGAGAAATCAGAAGTGCATTCTTTCCCAGCTTGGTTTTGGGGAATATTAATCAGTGATGCAATTCCTCGTCCCTCATTCTAAAACAATATAGAGAAACCCTGCTAAATTTTAAATGGACAGCAGAGCCTTTCCCACCCAGAAAGCCTCCAGTCCTCCACAGCAACTCCATAATTTTACCGGGCCCTCACCTGCCATTTCCTTCTCTTTCTCTGTGAGGTTTTTATCGCTCTGAAGTATGGTTCGGCCGACATCCTCTTTTTTCTTAAGGTACTCCTGCAGGACTGCCTCTGCCTGGGTAAAGAAGGAGCCACAATTGGAAGAGCTTATATAGTGAGGCTGGCTATTTATTTATTTTCTCTTCTTCCTTTACTGATGTTTTAACCTTCCCACTTAAAAAACAGCACTCAAGGTAATGGACATCATTAAAAATAGATAAAAAGCAAACAATTAGAAAATAGACTGGCCAGCCATATAGGGACCCAGGCAAAGGACTGATTCTGATGACACCCCGCTGCTTTAACACCAAAGCACGGGTAGAAACGGCCAGGACCTACGTGTGTCTTTCCCCAAGGAGACACAGACACAGAATTCAGAAGATTCAGGATAGTGCAAATCTATACTGTTTATATTGTGTATTTAATAGTGTCTTTGAACATCCCAGAAAAAAATATGATGTGTTATAAAGACCATAATTTCATAGCCCCACCCCTTCCCTACCATTATTCCTTTTCTAGGTTCCTGGCGGTATCTTTCTTCCACTTTCTTCAGGTCAGCCACAAAACACTTATAGCCACCAGGACGGGAGTAAATGCCTTCCTGGACTTTATTGTCCAGCTCCTGAGACAGTGATGTCAAGACCACCTCACAGCATTTTCTGGATTCCATTTCATTCTGATGACAGTAGTGTTCCTTCTTCTCATTTATAGTTTTCTGGTCAGACAAAGAAACAAAGAAAAATCTGGATCACAATCAAACTGACATCTAGAGAAAACTTTCTATAATTTGGGACTGTCAACATCTTAAGATACATCCGAGCCGAGATTTAAAGTTGTTCAGTCATCTTTACATCCCACATTCAAAGCCAGCTAGTAGGGAGAGTAAAGTATATTGACTTCAGTCAATATATGTTGGATGTCATGAAAAGGCAGTAAAACATTTCCTTTTTTAAAAGAACACAGGATTCCTATTTCACAGGCTGTCAGAGCAAGTTGTTTAAATTAACTAAAAAATCTAGCAATTTAACAAAATGTTCAAAATATAATAAGATAAAAACCATTGCATTAAAATTTACACAGGCCACAATCCACAACTCCTATAGGCTCTAATAAATAAGAATGTCTTGGCTTGGTGCCGAAAAGGTGGCAATGTGCATGTGAGCAGTGCCTTCATTTAGATGGGGCTTTTACAGAGGAAAGCAAGGAAAGAGGGGGAGATACAGCCTGTGAAGGTCAGTGAAGAGAAAGGATACAAACTTAGAGGGAGATGACAAAGCAGGCTGAGAAAAGAAATCATTTAAAGACGGAACATGGCTGGAACTCAATGTGGCACAAATCAGGTGGCGTAAGGCACCTGATTCTCAAACAGGTTCCTGCAACTGAAATCATCTCCAGTACCACCACGAAGTCAGTTACCAGAAAAGAGAGGCACCAGAAAGCAATAGTTCAGCCTGATGATGTGAGAGCCTGAAAGATTCCACAAGACTGGCTTTGTGGTTCGTTCCAAATGATGTCAAAGGAATTTAGCTAGTTTCAGATTATCCAAGTCTACCTCTGAACTCGTTTCACAGCAGAACCCCAGCCTTGAGATATGGCCAGCTAATGAGGACATCTTAAGAGGAAGCCTACCATAAGCTTAGCCTGGAAGTGTCGCGTATCGTCCTTGAAGGAACGATCCATGAACACGCGGAGGGCTTCTTTCTCACATTCGGCATGGATCTCCAGCAGTTGCTGGGTGGTCTCGGTGGGCAGTTTCAGCTTTTTCTCCATCAGCTCCACGTAGCGGGCAGAGGCTTGGCCCAAAGCAGCCGAATTCTCCATCTCAGCCAAGACAAGGACCGCATTCTCCATGCACGGCACTTTCCCACTGCAGATGCTCTCCACGTAGCTCTCTGCCAGCTTTGCCAGCACTGGAAGGAGAAAAGCGATACAAAGCAATGGGACAATGCTTATCATTAGGCGCTTACGTTGACACGAAGGGACTAAAAAAATCAAGCATCTAGGCTCTTCCAAGGAAAGGGAAGGTCAAGCACAGCAGGTCCTTAAAGTGATGTTATTGGGATCTGTTCCCTAGTTCAGCCGTTGTCAAGTGACAACAAAAGCCCAACAGGATTCCACATGGTAGAGCACACTCATTCCACACTGGAGAAGAATCATGTTATAATTGAAGAAAGAGAGGAAAGGGTGAGAAGACAGAAAAAGGAAGGAATTGTAGGAAGAGATATGTAAAATATTTTAATTTATTCATTAAAATAGATAAAGGCAAAGGTGTGTTAAGGGTACATCTTATGCTGCTGTTTTCAGTAGAAAGTGGCTTTTTTCAGAATAGTTAATGAGGAAATCCCTGCAGCTTGCTCAGAGAAAAGACAACGGACTTGGAAGGACTCACAACGGCCAGTAACAACGTGCCCTCCCGGGATGGTCTTCTCCTTGGATGTCCAGTAGACGTAACGACAAAACTGGCCTGCTTGCTCCACAAACTCAGGGTCCAGCTCGCTCTCCTTCATGTGTTCCAACAGATGCATATTCTTTCTCTGGGTCGGGCGGTCAAAAATAAAGCATTTCCGTTGGGGGAAATAAAAACGGATGCATTTGCGTGGCAGATTGAACAGGTTGACCTCTTGGGTATCACCTAGAGGAAAGAAAATGTGAAAGAAATTCAACTTTGCATGTGAATCTGGAAAGGCATCTTTCAACACAAAGACAGACATTACAGAATCTGTCGAGGAAACCATTACTCAGCAGAGAAAGTATATATGCCTTCTATGTGTTACTCATTAGCTGTTATGCTTACTAAGGATGTAAAATCCTCTATTGTTTTTTTTTTCCTCTATTCAATTTCATTATTAATTTCAAATCAGAACCCCCAGGAAGGGCTACAGTGGTGCCTCACTTAATGATAATCTGTTCCAGGAAAATCACCATTAAGTGAAAACATTGTAAAGCGAAAATAAAACCCCACTGAAATGCATTGAAACCTGTTCAATGCGTTCCAATGGGGTAAAAACTCACCGTCCAGCGAAGATCCACCATATGGCGGCCATTTTCGCTGACTGTATAGTGAGGAATCTGTCCCTAGAAAACAGCGGGGGGCCATTTTGAAAGCCAGCGGCCATTTTGAAGCCGTCGATCAGCTGTTTAAAAAACATCGTTTTCCGAAGAATTGGTTCCCAAAGCAGGGAAGCGATCATCGCAAAGCGAAATTCCTCCATTTAGACCATCATTTTGTGATCGCAATTGCGATCGCAAAAAGATCATTGTAAAGCGGATTCGTTGTAATGCGGGGCAATCGTTAAGCGAGGCACCACTGTATCTCATTTTTCAAATTTATACAGTGACCAGTGACCTGGAAACTATATAAACTGTGATTTGTAAACTATATTTTATTAAGGTTATAATTATTATACAATATTCCTCTTGATCTTTCATTACTAGCTTTGACCAATGCTTTTTCATAAGAATGCAACAGGAAGGAAGGGAAGACTCTTTTGATCTGGACTCTACATTTGTCACTGTTACCTTTCTTTAGCTTCAAGGCATTTTCAAGATACTCATCCTCGGTGATGGGGCGCCCGTTCAGCTCCAGCAGCAGCGTGAAATCCCTCAAAGCCCAGATGAAGGTCGGGAAGAAGCGGACAAACTCAGCCGAGTCCTCCAGTCCTCCAGCATTTTTCCCAGATGGGGCTTTTGCCTTGATGCGCTCTGTCAGTTCCGTCACATAACTGTAGGTTTGGTTTAGGAATCAAGAACCCTATTGACTCCATAGGAGGAGACCTTCCCTTTAAAAACACACCAACCTTATAACCACAAAAACAGATTAAGCCATAAGGGGGAAAGGAGTCAGCTCCCAAACTGAATACAGTGGGGTCTCTACTTAAGAACTTAATCCGTATTGGAAGGTGGTTCTCAAGTTGAAAAGATCTTATGTTGAATCTGCATTTCCCATAGGAATGCATTGAAAACCATTTAATCCGTATCTGCTCTTTTCCGTCCATAGAAACTACAGTGGAACCTCTACTTAAGAACTTAATCCATTTAGGAATGGTGTTCTTAAGTTGAAACGTTCTTAAGTTGAAGCAAAATTTCCCATAGGAATGGACTGAAAACCAATTAAACCGTTCTGGCTGTTTTTTTGTTATGTAGAGGTGCGTTCGTACATTGAAGCCTTAGTTCCCATAGGAACTAATGCAAAGCTGGTTAATACGTACTCTACCACTAGGGGGAGATTTTTTTTTAACCTAAAATGACCTAAGGTTAAAAAAAGAGCAGGAAAGGTTTTTTTTTCCTGTTCTTATCTTGGATTTCTGTTCTCAAGTAGAAACAAAATTTAGCAAATGGAGCTGTTCTTAAGTTGGATTGTTCTTAAGTAGGGACGTTGTTCTTAAGTAGGGACGTTCTTAAGTCTGGACTGGGATGACTCAGCTGCTTTCTTTGGGAAGGAACTTGTTGGATGAAGGCTGAAATTTCCTTATCTATATAAGGAAATTGTTTGTCTTTGTTTGGACAAATGGATTCCTTCCACTTGAAGGAACCCTGTTCTCTTTGGAGGATCTGGTTTACTACATCTGGCATAGAGCAGGATGCTTAATGACCTTGGAATCCATCCAGAAAGAACCTTCTATAAACATCGACCTGTTTAAATAATTTACCTTTCCTTTGTGTAAATAATTTTATGGATTGCCTATCTCTATCTGTATCACTCCATTATCACCAAGGAGAAACACAGCCTGGCATTGTGCTATTCCTCAGAGAGTTTGAACGCTTCCCTCAGAAATTGTAAAATAAATGATTTCTCCTCAAGCAGTGCAGAAACAGGGGGCAAATTCTTGGAAGCAGGACAACTAGTTATTCTTTCATTGGTCTTCTTCCCACATGCATACTAGATCTTGCGGCTGCCATGTTGTTTCTTCATGTACTCCATTTTGACCCATGAGCATCTCTCCTCACTAGTAGAGCGGAGACTCTGTTCCCTTAAAACATCCTGAGGTAAAAATTCAGGGCAGCAGGAAGAGCTCCATTCCTCAGGAATGGCATTATTTCTCCCAATTAAACCTTTTCCTGCTGCATAGCGCTTATGTTGACACTATGACAGTTATTCTGCCTTCCTCCCTTCATCTCATTTAGGGTCCCTCAGTTCCTCAAAAGTTCAACTCAGGCCTGGTTTAGATATGAGGGGTGGGTGGCAGAAATGATGATACGTTACCACTAACAGCAGGTAGCAGGCAACTTTACAGGTGCTCCCTTTCGTTCAACACACACACACAAAAAAACAAGAAATGCACACAACAAAGCTGCAGGATACTAAATATATAAATTACCCAATAATAATAATAATAAAAACTAGAACAGGAGAAAGAGTGTCCTGGAGCATCTTTTCTACAATGTACTTGTGTTTGTGGGAGATTTTCTGAGGTGGAGTAATCATTCCGAAATGGAATGGTCTCTCCAGACCTCATCCCAGCACCAGGACGGAACTAGTCCTATACAATCAAATTTGTGGCAATAAACATCTCCTAGTATTGTCAATCGTTGCATTTCCTCCCTAGCCTGGCCAAAAAGCTCAATAAGACTTTATCAGGTTAGATTTAAACATATATAGCAACGTGAACAGTGAACAGAGCCCTGACAGTGTCACACAGGTGTTCTCTAGTTCAAATATGTGTTGAAGCTTTTGCAACCTCGTATGCTGCCTGTAGTTTGTTTGGTTGGGAGGGACCTTTCTGGACTGGGATGACTGTCAATCTATCCAGCACTGACCAATCATTCCTTCCCATTTCTGAATTCAAAGAAAACTCTGCCTCTCTGCTCTGTGATCTTTCCTTCTGTTTCATCTTTTGGAAGTCAGTTCACTCTGTTTGTTAGTTTGTCGTTTACTGATTCCAACTATAAGCAATGAAACACTTTTAATATTTTCCCCTGATGATGTCTCTGTGAATCACTGAGACTGTAAGTGCCAGTCGATGAGAGACAGGATGAGAAAAAGGATCTGAGGAACCTGACACTATTCTCCTCTGTGGCTCTCTGTACTTCTGCTATGTAGCTAAAAGGAATTTTAACCAGAAATCCAAAACTCTGCAACTCTCCAGAACATAACCCTTAGAAAACTTCTCTAGGGAACCAGGACTTCCTGAAAGAGAGGAAACTCCCAGTGAGCGAAAAACAAACCCAAGAAGGATACTGAAGCCGATCCATAGCATTCTGGTCAATGGTGCCCATGCTGTTGTAGACCAGGGTGCTGCTAAGAAGCACAGCCAAAGCAAAGATCCAGGTGTCATTTCGCGTATCTCCCTAAGAAAATAGGGGCAAAGAATGCTCTGAGTGAGGGAGTAGGAACTCTGTCTGTGTTCTGTGTTCTAACTCCTGTCCTCTGAAGATGCCGGCCACAGAGACTGGCGAAATGTCAGGAAGAACAACCTTCAGAAGACGGAGCCCAAAAAAACCCCACAACAAACATCAGTAAGTATACGAATACCAAAAATGATAAAACAAATCCCACTCTAAGAAATGGAAAACAAAAGCAACATCCAAAACACATTCCAAGCAGTAAAGATACAAAGGCTGTGTTCATACATCACTTTAAGCCAAGAATTATTTAATCAGACATATCCATAAACTATTGTTGCTGTTGGCTTACAAGAAAGATTGATTTCTTCCAAACAGGAAATATACGCCTATAAGCTGCTACAAGACAGTTTCCTATAAAAACAGTTTGGGCCACCGGGAAATGGCAGGGAGGGGAGGCATAAAGAACAGATTCACCTTTTCCACGTCACCTAGTCCCTCAGTATCCAGAAGAACAAGGGTCTGATGAGGCCTATCAGGGTAGGGAACACACCACATCCAGATGCCTTTTGTGTTTGCTTGCACTGTAGAGCCCAGAGCGAAACCTATAGATAGAGATAATCACACGGGACAGAAGTGAAGACGGATATACCAGAAAAATTGAGCTGGACCATGATTGCCATCTAGTTTTTTGGGGAACATTCAAAAGGAATTGTTTCCCCCAGTATAGAAAGGCAGTGACTATCCTGCAACTTCTGGATTTCTCATACGACCGTTCAAGAGACCTCCAAGGAAAGGTCATTACACAGTGGGTTGTTTTATGAGATTTTAAAAGAATACAAGAATCAAGAGAGTCAGATATATATACACAGATAAAGGCAGAGACAGAGATGAAAACACAGCAAATGGTGAAGGCTTCTCAGACTTTTAATCCAAGAACATCTGGGGACTCAAGATGGAGAACCAT